TTTTTGATTTCATTTTAATCTCAACGTTGGTATCTCAACTAAATTGCCTGAGCGCTGTCAAATATTTTGTAGTACACAACATCACCAAGCAGTTTCACTTCTAAGTTAGTTTGTCACAATTTTTAAATTTTTTTTTCTTATACTATATATATTACAAGTTTAGATAAGACGAGCTAAGATAAAAGGATGATATGAAAGGGAAGATGTATGATAATCAGATGAGGAGTGGAAAGTTTAAAAAAATACGTATGTATTTCTGATCGTTTTTTTTTTTCATTTGTACGTAGATGACAATAAATGAACTTTCTAAAAGTTGATTATATGTGATTGACGTTGATATTGGAAATACTTTAAAATTTTTTTTGTAATTATTCCGAAGAAGGTTCAATTTTCTCCTGGAAGATGTGCAAATCTTTCAATGTGATTTTAATGCAGTTGTAGATTAACTGCAGATTAAATGTCTGGTCTTGAGAGGTGTCAAGTTTATTGAGTTGCTAACATTTTGGAAATAATTAAGTGATAGGCTTTATATTATTCGAGCTGTTACATCGATGCCTTGTACTTAATAAAGAGTTGAGTGTGAAGTTCATTCATCTTTTTCTTGTTTCTTTACTGGAAATTGATTTTCATTTGTTAAAAGCAGTCATCTAGCAATACAGAAAACAATTGGACAATTTGCATTTTGAAATTTAGGTTTTCGCTTTTGACTTAAACATTTTATACAAAATATTCTTCGCATTGTCAATTCTTTTAAAAACATTCGATTTACAATACTGAAATATTTCCAAAACAAATGAATTACTCTTTTCCTTTTGGATAAACTACTTTTTTCATAAATTTAAACTTTGAAGAAAGCTTCCAATAAAAATTGTGCAAAATATTCACAATCGCCATCGCATGATTTAGAGAATAGCTGCTTCGACGCTCTAAATGGCCACTTTCCACTGTTTCTCCATCTTCGTTGCTTCATATCTCTTTTTCACAGATATATTTTCGAGTTAGCCTTTTGTTAGAACTAAACGATGTTATATGTATAAAAAAATTTTTTCCAATTTCTTCAAAAATTTTAAATCCGTAGAAATTGCTTGTATCTTTACTATGAAATAATAATGGGAGAAATTAATACAGAACAATGTATTGTTATGCAAAAGTTATATACAACGTAATAAATTAAGTAAATTAGCAATGCGCGAAATTCACTCATTTATTTTTGGTTTTTCGTACTCTGAATTACTATTTTCGTTATGTAGACAATACTTCGAAATGTTTTAAAAAATTGTCGAAATTCAAATTGAAACATTTAAATAGCCGAGAAATCCATCACTTTCTTCATTGATTGCTTTGATTCCACTAAAATCTTCATCTTATTGTCAAAAATTTCAAAAAATTTTAATTTTTTGTAGAATTCAAAATGTCTTCAAACGATTAATTATGATTCCAATATTTTGTCATGAAAAAACTATCGGATGTCATCAGGGAGAGGGCGGGGGAGAGAAAGGAGAATTTGATATCCTTTTTAGGTTATTATAGTAACAAATTAGGGGCAGTTAATAAATAAGCTATTTAATTAATATGTAATGTACAAATCAAGTAGCTCAAATTTAGTTTAGTTATCTCTACATTTATATGAAATCTTACAAATAGATGTAAGATTATCTATTAATTCTAAAGTGAAGAAGTTTACTGTCTATAAATTTGTAACGCACTTTGAGACTAGCAACCATGCTTGAATTCTTTCTCATTAATGAATATTCTTCGTAAATTTTTGAATTTTTTACTATTTACAAAAGAATAAGCGAGATAGCGCAACTTTGTCTTTGGATGGTAAAATTAATTCCTCACAATATGTAACATTTGTTTTAATGAAACATATAAATAAATTGTATAGTGACCTACGAATAATAATGCAATTTATCAAGTTATTAGTAACCAGGAAAATATTTTTTATTGATAATGCCATTGATTCGTATTGTGATAGTGAGAGGCTGATCTCTGCATCGATGAAAAAAGGCCGAACATTCCTTATCTAAAACTTTCAGCCTTTTTACTCTTTCTTGACGATTTCAATAATCTCTCTTTATCAACCAATGTTTCCAGTTTCTTTGTTCCGATTTTGTTTACATGCGTTAAGAAAGGAAGTGGAAGTTGAGAAAAGGTTATTTATGCAATTTAGACCATTTTGTTGTGAGGCGCGGAATATTTTGCTCGTCTCTTTTGATTCTTTTGAACCTTCCCTTCTCATAGATTCAACTGATAGATGTCTTCATCGCATTTCGTTGCTCCTGTTTTGAATTTGTACATCAGTTCGCTGAACATTCTTGATAGATTGCCTATATCTTCAGTAAATTAATTTTGAGATTTTCCAACATAGCATTCTTTATTTTTACTTGTATCAATCATCAATCAATTAAGTCAATCAATTTATCACAGATTGCACTTGAAATAAAACAATGATTGAGTACTAATTGCAGCATCATCCCATGGAATTTATTTTTTTCGACATTCTTTGAAATTTAAGGTTGGTTTAAGATTTATAGAACATTTTCATTCAAAAAATTCTGGAATGAAGACTCCGTTGCTCGAAATTTTGCATAGAGTAATGTAGTTTGGTATTGTGTTGATTTGAAACGGAATGAAATTTGCGAACTTTTCATCTTTGCTTTCATTCTTTTGCCTTATGAAATTAATAATTTTTAGGTCATGTAAATAGCAATATGAAGAAAATGTGACGATAATTGTTTAACGACTATTTGGATCTCGAAGGCAACATATTTTGGAAAAAGTGATTTACCTGCTATGCTATTAAATACTTATCAAAGTTAAGTAGAATTTCGAGTTGTCTCTTTCCTCTTGTTTAATGAAACGTTAAGCATATCTTTTCAAATTCAAAATTCATTATCAATCTTCAGAAACTTTAAATTAGTTTATTACTGGAATTTTCAGAATATCTTATCAAAGTCACTTAAGAGCAAGTCCGATTTTAGTGTAGTCCACAAATAAGTAAAGTCTCCAAATTATTGAAATCCCTTCAAATTGTTTTTATGAATCCAGTAAATCAAAAAATATTGCTGACCATTTTGAGACTAACTAAACTTTGATCTTTTTTTTAAGTAAATTATGTCAAAGTAAGTTTGGTAAATTTCCCATAGATTTATTTCATTGAGCAATAGAATGTAGAAATTTAAGCAGTTGATATGTCACTTGATTAAATGTTCTTTAAACAAAGTCTCTGTTAGATTGTATAGTTAACATTTGATTAGTATAACAGAGATCTAAAGTAAATAGCGAGCATATTCTGACAGCTTATCATAAGCTTATCAGCTTATCGCCATAATTAGAGGATTCTTACATTATTGCTTTTAAATTAGGATGAATGCAACTGGCTGGGAGCAGTTAAAATAAAACTGTTGAGAATGAATGTTCCTCACTCCATTCAGTAAAAGATTTTCTTGAAAAGAGCGATCTTGAAATAAAAACAAAATATAGAACAAACCTTAAAAGTACTGCAACCCATTAAATTCTATAAAATTTCAAGCAATGTTTTTAACAAAAAATTCAAAAAAACCATTATTTAGTTTTCAATCTGTTTAGAGATTCAGTACCATTCTTCATAATCTGAATTTGATTGTGGAATGATGAAGTAGAATGGTGTCGTAAAGAATATAAGCAATACAATTGCATCTACAATTACTATATTAGTAACAGTTTGTACAATTTTAAGCTTTTTGTACAATTTTAACTTCGGTTCTAATCAAATTTTAATAGACATTTCATGCTGTGGTAAGGGATAATACATTTTCCAGTTAGGGGAAATAATCGTTTATAGTATGTCGTTTTTGTTTTATTTTAATACTTCAACATGTCTCGTAAAAAGCTATTTCCACTCTGTCGTCGTATTGCTATTCCATTAGTTCAAGATTTACGTACCGTTCAACATAGACCTATGAATCATCGACTTCCTTTATTGAAATTATTCCATCTGTGCTACAAATAAAACTTCTGTACTTCGAGTCACACATATATTCTTAAAAAAAACAGTCTTCAATAGATGAAATCAACGGAAGAGACTGTTGAATTTTGTGTGACTATATGGCTAGCGAATAGGGAAGAAATTCTTTACATAATGTTCATGTGGAAGATGCGAAGCCCTGATTTATAATAATTTTAAATGAGAGTTTACTTACGCGTTATTTTTAAATTTATTAAGTTTTCCTAGGATATCTATTTATGAATAATCTGTAACTAGAATAATGAACAACAACTTATGTTAAGAAAAACATATTGAATAAGCAATAAATGGAATGAGAAACTAAAATAATGGTATATGATCTTGAAATATATAAAAACTAAAAAATATAAAAAAGTCACTCACTATTTGTACCTTCTCTTAATTAGCCATCTGAAGTGTTTGTTACTTCATGAGAATTTGGATGCGATTTTTCTTCTGTTCCTAAAATGCCGAATACTAGTAAGTGAAATGAAAGAAATCTTCATTTCCAGTTATTTTTTTTCAAACTATAAGAACTACATCTGTAATTTCAAACTATTGGAGAAATTTTTTTTTTTCGAACTATTAAAACTGCATTTGTAATTTACATTCGCAACTAAAGCATATTGAATTACACTAATTTAATTAACTGCATACTCCGATATCATTCTACGTTGTTTCATCGGGCCACCTAAGGTGTTCTTTGGCTTCCTCCTATATTCTACATTCTCAGCATCCACCTGTTATCGTCGAATTAGGTCGTTCCTCTTCTGTAAAATAAAATATACCAAAATAATCCTTTTTTCAGAATGCTCTAATGTAGGAAGTTTGACATACGATGGAAAGGTGACTGATTATTAAAATTGTTGTAACAGCTGGAAACGATAGATAAATATGAGTTCATTCATGAAAGAACGGGAAACAATGGAACCAAATAACAAATTTTACTATCTATAAATTCCAATCCGTTTTTCTTTTGTTCTGTATCCTTTACCTCCATTATTCGAATTTGATGTGCCACCTGATGTACAAATACTATTTAGTAATTCTGCTACTTATAAACCAGATGTTTCGTGTTTTTTCGGAAAATAGTAAGTTTGTTTCTTGTAAATTTTTGCTATACAAACATTCATCTTCCTGGAATTTACTGATTTAGAGTGTAAAAAGTAACAAATTTAGACTTGAAAACTCGAACAATTTTGATAAAATTTTTAATATTCTTATCGGTTGATATATTTGGTGAGAAATGATATAGTTAGATGGTATTTTCGCGTGCACCGTATTAAAAAACAGTTTCTTTCTTTCATATATCGTAACAACTTTTAGGGAACTCAGTAGTTTAACCGTCATTTATAAAAATATCTCAGTGGACTGAGAGTAAATTTAACTGATTAAAATATGTTATAAACATATAAAATTGATAGGATTGATCGTGTCCACAATTTAGGAATCTTCAAATTACCGCGGCTAATCCTGCACGCAGACCAGTACTATCTGGTTAAGCATAAAGCTGTTGGCATGTCATGTCAGATAGAGCCTGGTTGGCGTGGGGCGACAATGGCCGATGTACATTGGATCAAAGATGGTGTACCTGTCAGCGAACTCGAAAATGAAAATATGCGGAACGAATTGCTTGTCGATGGGCCTGCGTAATTATTTCATGTGTGATGTATGCCCAAATTGAGTAAAATTAATATGAGAATTGGGCGGAATAATATTGTAGCGAGTTTAAAGGCATTGTGAAATATGAATTTTTTGGGTAAGGTTACAATATTTGTAGACTATTCTAAAGTTGATTTTAATTTATAGTTTAAAAATACAAAACGGGAAGCATCATGCCGAAGGAGATTATCAATGTTCAGCTCTAATACGGGGTGTACGATTGTCTAATGGAAAACATATTGATACACGTCTTGTATCCGCTCCAGTAAAGTTTCGTCGTGCGAGGATTACCAAATTTGAAAAAGTTGCACCGCAGGTCTTATTTCCTACTTTTAATCTTTTTATGGCAATTGCATTTTAAGTCCTTAGAATCGTATTTTCATTTTATTGAAAATTGGAGAAAAGTAGATAATTGAAACAAATTTTTTGTTGTTCAGAGTGTGGCTGTGTTTCAAGGACAGATTGCTCGTTTACCATGTATGGGAATGCCAGATGTGATTCCTGGCCCTCCAGAGATAACATTCCAGAAAGAAGGCTATGATAAACTTCTAGGAATGCCGGGTAGACAGTTATTGAAATTTCAATTTTGTGAATAGTGAAGCAAGAATCTTTTCTTGTTCTTCTATTTAATTTACTCCTGACTAGAAAATATTTTAAAACATACCACGTTTTGATAGTCTTCATTATGTTCTGTAATTAGCGCTAAATTATTGTTGCTGAGATTGCCTATGCAGCAAAATTTTCATTGGTATTAACAAATTAGCAAACACATATTTAACTCTGGGTCCAGGTATACGAAGCAATTGATGTTAGTTTTTCTAATTTCTCTACCCTCGTTGACGAGATTTCTCAGAGAGTTAAGAAAGTTGTAGAAGCTGACATCATAAAAAATATGAATTTTTACTAGCCATAATTCACTCTGCAGGCGATGAAAGGTATCTCTCGACATCGTCTGGTATGCAAATACCTTTGTCAAAATTATCAGATTCAGGCAATTATCATTGTGTTGTTCGTAATATATTTACCAATCAAACTCGAAAATCACCGCATTTTGTTAAATTAGAGGTAAGTTTTCTGGTTTTTCTTATGTTTCAGTGTATTCTCATGAATCATTTGTGTTAAATAATAAGGAGTAAGGAGCACAAAGAGTGGCTTTCAGGGAAATCATCTCTTCAATAAACTTGAAATGGTACACAATATTTAAGATTACTACTAGTCATTTTATTAGTATTTTTACATTTTTTTTTTAGCATATACTATTCTTGATATATCCGCATGCATGAAATGAAGTTTTTTGTTATCATAATTCTTGACTTTCATCTTATTTTTCATTATGCAGGTATTGGCAAAAAGGTACAACAGCATTGAGCCTATGCTTATTTACCCTCTAACATCGTCCTCAGTCAGAGGACCCATTGTTATTGATGTTGTCAAGGGACAAACAGCGCTTCTAGAGTGCATCGTCACATCTGCAAAAATTATTTGGACAAGGGTAACTAACCTCTTCCATGATTTTCGTAACTTTCATTGTCTATCATTGTGGGGTTGAAAATGATTAACTTTAACGATAAAGAAAAAGGATGATACTGGAGAATGGCTCGTTTTTTGTGAAAATGCTAAATCTAAAAAAAGAGTTATCGCCATTGCGCACTTTCATGCTTAATATTTTTTAAATCAATCCATAGCTATATCCCGGAGAAACAGAAATATCAATGAGTGGCGAAAAAGCACGACTGCGCCAAATTTGGGGCAATTTGCAAATTCAACAGGTAAATGAAGCAGACACTGGAATTTACATTTGTGAAAGTATGGCGCTCTTTTCTCATGTTACGGTTGAATTTCCTAAGGTTTATTACAATTTACGGGTACATGCACCAACCGATGTACAGCTTATGTTGGGACAGCTTGCTGCAGATAAGAGCTGGAAGGTGAATAAAATTTTTGCATTGCATTAGAATTTTGAATTTTAAAACATTGAATTTTATTGTTTTCAAACGTTTTGCTTCCACTAATTGTGGAGTTGTTCCATTCAACTTTATTATTTATATTTCAAATTCATTATTTTTATTTCAAATTAGATTTGGTTTTTTTTTCTTGAGTAATTACATTTGTTTATTTTACGGCTTTACGCATATATAGTACTCATAAGCTATTTTTTGATACTTTTCCAGATTTTAGGTTATTCTAAACTGAGTTGTTTTATTGGAAAAATTTTCCAATTCTAATTGAGTTGTTTCACTCAAGAAAATTTTCCGGTTTAGCTGAGCTGTTTGGCGCTAAATTTACATTATGAGATTCCGATGGTGTATATGAATGGGTTGGCACTGATTGATGCAATGGATAAGCTTGGTGTTCCGCCACATACTAATTTCTTTACAAATCCGATAAATGCCACATTGACTTCTAGTGTTGCATTATCAGGCAGTGTACAGGTATGTTCACACTTTCAGCGGAATCTGTTAAGTCAACTTACTCGCTATAAACGCTTCAGCTGCTATATTACAGTGCATTTCACGCCCAGCGATGGATGAAGCAGAGGTATATGGAAATGGCCTGGAACGTGGTCGAGCGATGAATTTCTATGTTGATAATCGAGTCAATCAGCAGATTAATTTAATTTTACAAGGGCCAGAAAATTCTACCAAAACAGTTGGTGAGACAGTACAAATGGTTTGTTTAGTAGTACCACGAACAACCAAGACCATTTGGACCAAAGGTTTGTTGAGTTCCGGGTGTTTATAACAATTGAAATCAATTGTTTTTTTCCAAATCAAAATTAAAGCTGTGTTCAATTGAAAAGAATAAATGGAAGAAATCGTTTTTCATCGGACTCAAATAAACTGATGTTTTTTGGGATTTGCCCATTTTCGCTTTTCACATTTCGTTTTTCTTCTTTCTTAAAATTTTTTTTCAAATTTGTCAAATTTAGATGGTAAACGTATGGCACTAATTGGGAAAAGACGTATCCGATTGGTTGGGACAGCAAGTTTGCAAATTTCTGATGTACAACTGGAAGACGAAGGATGGTACACATGTGAAGTGACTGATAACACAAATCACATGACTCGTTCCAGTGCCTATCTAAGAATCATTCGTAAATCAACTTTTAAATTAATCAAAGTTTTACTACAGTTGAAATCATACCGCTTTTTAGATTTGTAAAGCCTTTTCCTCAAAGTTTTCAAAATCAAAGGAAAATTTTTCAGCGAAAGAAGCACTTTTACAAATTGAGAAAGAGAGTGGAGCGAAAAGTCAAGGTGTAAGGAATATCTTCTCTGATAACACTGCTGCTGTACAGTTTCAAGAAGAGGTTCAGTTTGTTTAAATTGCGCCTTGAAGTACTCAAAAAACGAATCTTTGCTAAATCTGTTGATGCTTAAAATGATTCTGCTTTAAAATTTATTTGAAAATGTATTGCAAGCAGCGGGCAGTTCCTCTGTATTCATTTCTTATGCAATAATGGGAATTCACAGTTTCTGTTCATTATATACTGATATCTATCTACTTTCTGATTTGAACTTCTTAAATTAATCCCTTGATTTCAAATGAAAAGTTAAGCTGCAAATATCTGAAAGAGGTGAAAATTTTCAGTTAAAAACAGGTGGATCGAAGGAACTCTCAATGGATGTTCCGCGAGCGTTCATTTCCGGAAGAAATGTGCGAGTACTATGGTCAGTACCCAACAGTTATTCATTTCTGAACAAAATTACGTCATTTCAAGTTGAATTTCGAACTGAAGGTAATGACAAGAAATGGATCACGGGTGATGTAGTAGACGGACATGTGCGCGCTGTTACTATCAAAGCATTGCTACCCGGAAAGAGGTTAGATTTTTTTGTCGGGACTGAGACAAAGTATAGAACTGCACTTAAGTGCAAATTATTTCATTAACCGTTGATTTGGATAGCGGTATCAAACATGAAGGCAAAGAACCCTGGAAATTTTGAAGATCAAAATTACGGAATATCGAAGCATTTCAAACTTGTCAAGTGATTCCTTAACTTCCAATTTTTATTACATAAGGAATAATTTATCTTTACTAATAAAACAGTTATATTCGTATTATTAATAAGCGGAATTATAAGCTGTTGAATATGTAAAATTTTGGATGGATTTATAGGATTTCAAATATGCAGCGAAGTTTGGCCGTAAATTATGAGAAATTCACATTTCAGATACCAATTTCGAGTGTTAGCGAAGATGTTGGACCAGAGTATTGTATTGTCTCCACCTACCGATTGGCTTAAAATTGAACAAGCACTCGAAAATGATGATGGAAACAATTCACAACTTAATATCACCCTTTTTTCTCCAATTTCAGATACCGTCCTTCAACTCTATTGGACTTACATTGCTCCGAACTACATAAGATCTCCCGAAACTTTCCTCGTTTCATATGCTAATGTTTCTGACAAAGACTACACTCATACGGTAATTCCACAGATTAGATACAAAAATCGTCGAAATAGTCGGAATCATGAAACATATATCATTATTAATATCATTCATTACTACTTCTCTAAGGTCAAACTGCAGTGTTTCAGATACGATTGAACAGTTCATTTTCCATGACTAATTTAAGTAATTTAATACCTTCTATGGAATATCGGGCCGTTGTCGAAGCTGAATTTGCTGACAAAACGAGCCAACGAAGTGAACCATCCGTTGCACGCACTTTAGGTTGCATTTTTATCCTGCAATGAATTCACAGTCCCAAGTTTATAGATTATCTAATTTTCTGTAATTTTGATTCACTTCTAAAAGCTTGCATTTTTGTGTCATTTATACAGATAGAATGTCAGAGAACTCGACGACCAAGAATCCTGCAAATCTTTTTGCATTATTCAGTCATCGTTTCTCATACATGACATCAAGTTGGAGCACAGAAAGTACTATCCTTCTCCTTATTACCTCATTCCTTTCACCGATTATTTTCATCATGTTTGGCTTATCATTGTACAATCTCAGGCAACGACATGCAAGAAAAATTGGTAGAGGTATGTTGCTTTTCAAGTAATTTTGGTTTGAAAAAATTGGCATAATACCATGGTTACATGAGGTTTCTGATTCTAAAACTTCTTTAGATAGAAGCGGGAATATATTTTAGGATTGGACTAGCATTTCTTGAGCACGAAAATTCCCCTTCTTTCATTGTTAGAAATAATTTTTTATTTTAAGCTGCTCGTGGTAAATTCATGGACACATCACATAGAATATTCAACGAACAACGAGTTCAGAAATCACATCTTTACCATGAGCCAGCGATAGCAATGTCAGCCATAAGTGATGTGAATGAATTTACTCCCCTTAAGATAAAGGTTAACAATAAAAATTTTGGCTGAATTTTCATTTGCCAAGCAAAAAAATCAAACTTCTAGGCATATTTCGAACAATAGAGAATTATTTCAGGCAACAGCGTCTTCTAAATGAAAGGACTGAAGTTACTAAGGGCGGGAAGTATTGTCTGTTGCATGTGGGACACCTGCATATACTATATTAGTAATTTTTTTAAGAACTAAAGACATTCATTCTAAATTAAAGAAAAAGTGAAACAGTGAGATTGCTTGTTTTTCAGTATAGTGGAAATCAGCCATCTTCCGTTGCGTCTTTGAAAAGCTTTTCATTCAGCAAAGATTACGACATCATGCCAAACCTGTATAGTGAAGAGGATAACTTTTTGGAGGGGAGAAATACTCTCCTTACTTCATTCAAAGGTTTAGTAAAAATCAAAATATTTGAATGCCCTAGTCAATTTCAGCTGATTTCGATGCCAATGGGTGAAACATGGATGGCTGTACAAGATTTGATTTTTATTTTATTTCATTGCATAAGTTATACCCGGAATTCTATCTATTCAGATAAATTGTGGACTAATGCGAAAATATATGAAAATGTGATATCAGAAGTTAATGATATTCAGAGGCCAGTGCAAAAAGCTTTACAAAGCAATGACGAATCTTTTTGGTTGAAAGGTTATTCCTGCTTTCATTATTTTATTTTCCCATTCGAATCGTGTTTTCGAAAAACATCATATCCTTTAATTGCAAAACAAAATTCCGTTAACTAACTACTAACTACCAGTGATGTTAACTATTTTTGAACGAATAGTATGATTGCAGTATCTCACTTCAATTTTAAATCTCATTGCTAGCAAAGTTTATTTCAATACTTATACTGCCGACATTTAATTGAGTAGTTCCCAAAGATGAAACTCGCACAAATCGACTTAATTTTCTGCTTAAGTAACTTATATCTGAAATTCCAATTACCGTTAGAGATTTTACAGGAATTACGAAAAACGGCCAAATAGTGCCGCCAAATCACATCACAGTTATATCTCCTGGTGTACAATTGCCAGCGTCAAAACGGTAAATGGAATTTCTTTTAAATTAAAAATGCTTTTAAGAACATGGTATAATATCATCTAAAATGATTATTTTTTGATATCCCTGTCTCTAAGAGGAATTTTTCTAAAAATCAATATTAATATGAATGAAAGAGGATTTCTAACACTCGCTTCATATCACGCGAATTAGCTTCAGAACAAAATATTAAGAAAAAAATCTTTAAAAGCATCAAACGTTGCTTATAAGCTTTCAAAGCTTTAATTCAAAAATCTTCTTTAGTGCGGAAAACAATACACAGTATACAGCACTGTCGGCAACAAGTGGAACAGCTGACGAATCCTCTAGAAACAATCAAATATCCTCCCCGACAGATGGTTGTTATTTGCACACATTTAAATCTCAAGCGTCAAACACGACAAGCTTCACCTATACCATATTAAATAAATAAACAAAAGCAAACCATCTCATAAAGTGAGATCCATTATTAGTGCTAAGAATCTTTGACCTCCACTTTCTGAAAGCTGAAAATATTAAATTCCTCGACCTTTCATTCATATCAGTCGTAGGTTCCGTAGAATGCATTTCTATTGGATGGAATGATACAAGATGTATTATGAGTCTTCTAAGGACTAGAAAAAACCGTTTTGAGCCATTAATTAAACTGTTGTATGGACATTTAAAGGATTGACTTAGGCTACATATTATTCAGTACAAAAGAATGAAGTAACAAATCAACTGATTTTTCGCGGGAAAGGAACTTAAAGAGTAGAGTAGCAGATAAGAGAACAGCGATAACTTTTCTCTTCAGGGCTTTCATTTATATTATGTCCAGATGTCGCAATATAAAGAAGTTCGGGCAAAGTACCAACGAAAAATTTGTCAATACAAATTCATTATATCCTTTTCACTGCTTATCCTAATAATGCTGAGAAGATAAAAGTTTAAAACAGTTTTAAGTGACAATACCTTACGCGTGTTGATTCTATTTCGCTTCTTACTTTAAAACCTGATATATATATTTTCAATTGATATATCCCTTAACTCATCCTACTAACCGCTTAAATCACATAAAAACAAAACGTTGAGAACTTGGAAAACAATTCTAACCCTATAGTAATCAGCATAAGTAATGCAAGCACTTAGAAGTTACTTTGTTCAACCGGATCCAAAATGCATCTGAACCTTATCTCCCACTGACGATTTACAGCAGCAAACCACGAAGTGTACCGTCAACTCCGTACCTCCTCAGGCAATGCATTACATTACACCTCGCTCAGGAAACTCTGTCAGACCTCATCCTCCCGTTGTCGTAACCGGAGTTCCGGAAGCTCCAACACTGCTGGCTTTGCGGCTGTTGAATTAAAATGCCTGCACCAAAAAAAAAACCAACTACGCCTGCACCACTTCTCGTTCTAGATCTTTCCAAATGTACAAAACTGCGGTATACAATACATTTTCAAAAAAAAAAAAAAAAAAGATTCCGTTTTCCGTTGCAAAATTTTAATATGGATCAAACTACTAACAGCATTCTATCGAAAGACGCCATAGTCACACGTCCATGAAAAATGAAGGGTCACAGTGCATAATTAAATTTTCAAAATGCGATAAAAACATAAATAAACCTAACAAAATCAAATGTCACGACTGTTTGCTTCCATGAAAATTTACAAGCTTTCGTATCAAATTTTGAACATTTCGGACTTCCTGTCACTCAAGCGATAATGAAAGATGAAAAAAATGGGAATTCAAAACAACTAAATTACTGAGTACACGAAGCATTTATAAAAGAAATCGCAGGCATAATCTTTATAATTGGCAATCTTGCACTTGTAGCACATTATTTGGGCGCCTACTACAAAAGATATCAAATACAGATAACAGCAATTGATCTCTCCTACCAAAGAGTTTATCCATTATATGGTTAATACAAATTTCAATTCATTTACCATCGAACAATACAACTGGCTGCTCCGAAAGATTTTTAGGATTCAGTCAGCAATTTGAGCCAGTTGAAATGCATGATAACAAACGTTTTCATTTCTACTGCCACCAATCAATGCATATTTTCACCAAAATCGTTATAACAAACTAGCACAGTCATAAATATTCTACAGCACAGTAACTTTATTAAGGTGATTTGCCACAAATCCGGCCGACTTTTGAAGCACTATCTTCAGAAGCTGTAACCGCATTCTGCACCTAAAAATATCATTTCTGCATTACAAATATATTGAAAGGAAATATTTGATGAAGACGGCTACGTTAAGAATGTATGTTAGTTTTGAGTAATAATAGGGGGATGTTTATTAAAAAAAAGACAAAAGAAAAAAATGAAACCTAAGCTTAGGAGTTCTCATCTACTGCAGAAAACTTGGCACAATTTCAGAACTCGAAAAGAACAATCAAAGTAGGATAGACTCATTAGCCAAGAGCATAAAAAATATTACCTCACAGTCGTCGTGAATGATTTTTGGAAAGTGCGCTTTAATCCAATCTTCTGTAAAATTGTAATTTTAGTTTATTTTAGTTTGTAATTTTAGTTTCATAAGCTTCGTTACCGAAAATGGAGCCAATCCACAATGACGATGAATATGTACACACAAAACCCTGGGATTTTCACATTAGATGAAAAACGTTAGGCAAAACTTACTCCATAATAGAAAACCCAAATCATTCTTTGTATGGGATGAACCAAACGTTGAATGATAAATCCACTGCTGCCCATTACAGTCCACATCAACAACAATGTTGTCCTTAATGAAATCTTCAGCTTCCTTTGCATCATTCACAAACTGCACATACTCCGTAAGAGGATAAGGTGGACAGCGTATATAGCGATAAATACGTGATGGACGACCTGGATCTACTCGTCCTGAATCATAAATTTAAATAGTTTCAGCTTACTTCAACTAGTACACTTCCAAGTTATTGAAACCTTTTCAAAGAACATCACTATACTGCAGTTCTAGTCCATTTGAAAAGTCTTAAAGATCTACGATAAATGAATGAATTTTACTAGCTCTAAAAAAAAATTACTTTTTTTTTTCATACCTGAGATAGCGTATAACAGCACATTAAAACTAACCGACAACAGGACGTGGAGGTAATACAAGCGCATAAAAATTTCCATTAGTATAGCCAAGTAATAAAGGTGGGCACAATCGGTAATTGTTCAAACCAGGCAGTTGTGGGTAAAATCCTTCAACTGGATGTTTCCAACTACCAGGGCGTCCATCCCGAACAGGGAATGGGTTTAGTTTTGACGATTCAATAGGAAATACAATGATTGGACGATTCAAGACCTGTGCCAAAACAAGTATATGGATCTGAAATATTATTAAGACACAGACAAGGGTTGAAAACATTTCTTTTGATTTTGCTACAAAAAAGAAGAGATCTCAATAACCTGCTCTAATGGGAAGCCAGGGTCATTACACTCAATAATGTTTGACCAGTGACGTTGCATCATCCAAATATCAAAATTTAATCCAAGTTTCATCAAAGAAGTTGCCCATCGACCTCGAAAGCTAAAAAAACTTGCCGGATATTTCAGTTTAAAATGTAGAAACAATTCTTATGAAATCAGTAAAAGTAGAAAATTGCGATAAAAAGCGAAGAAAGAAATTCAATTTTACTAACTCAGTTTCCATTGCATATAACGTGTGGTACAGTGCATCACGAAGTGTATTGCTTTTGTCGATTACACCCCACAATGCCTGAAAGGAAATAAGCAATGAACTTTCGAACGTTTGTAGAGCAAACTGTCTCAAGTTAAAGCTTTCTACATCAATTCTTGTTTGTCACAACAGATATCTCAACTTCAATTATATATATTATATAAACCTGTGAAACTGCATCCACAAGGCTGTGTCCTCCTCCACGATTTCGCAACAACACTGGTGCATAAGTCTGACAGCCTGTTGGCCCTGATAGAGAATGTGCATCCATGCAGCACACTGTATCAAGAACTTCTAAAATTGAACCAACATATATATTCTAAGACAAAGTGAATCAGAGTTCTTCCTTTAATAAGTTTTGTTTTCCATCTTTCACCAACTCCGAGACAGTTGAGGTAAAAATTGAAGGACATCTGCAAGAACTACTATAAAAATTCATTATAGTGCACTTGCTTGTAGAAAAACAATATTTCAAAACCTTACGACGATCTTCGAGATCCATGAGGACGCGTAGGTTACTTTCACCGGAAACTACCCATGGTCGCAAATCGTAAATCGCTGTAAATTTTATGATAAAACTCTTTTGCATTTAGATAAATCAGCTTACTAAACATCTAACCCTGACCATCTAAAATAATGATACTGACCTACTGGTTGAGAATACATCCTATTATGGCAGTTTCGTATTATGACAGTGTTCCTTCCTAAAGCTAACCATAAAATTTCAAGGAAAGCTTTCTCTTTCAACCAAATAGTGTTGATACCACAAATAACAATAACAATATATCAGCAACAAACAGTTTGCTGACATCAATAGATGAAAAGTCACCATTTGGTAAAGTAAACAAGGCATTATTGTTAGCGACACGCGTCATATCATAATCTTCGTACATACTTTCGCGTATTTTCTTGTGAATCTCATCAGAACAGTTACCACTTGCTCCAAAAAATATATAACATGACAATTAAGCATAGTATGATATATAATGAGAATTGTAAAAATATGACAACTGCAACGCAATTCATTTTTTATGTACAAAAAACATTCTCATTCGCAACCTAGAGAATAAGCATTTGCCAGAAAAAGCAGAAGAACGCATAAAAAATATAACAAGTTAAGAAAAAAATTTGCACATCTCTGTTCCCAAGTAAAGAAAAATCAAACTTACAGAAGAACACAACACAGCTGACACGATCTTTCCTTATAAAAACAAATATATAGCTTTTCAGGCAAGAACAAAATTAATGCATACCTAATCCTGGAATTGCAACTGTGCAAGACATGGAATCCATGAAAAATCTTGGAACACTCGCCAAAATCCTGCCGTTCTTACTTCGAATGATATCAATAATTGAGCGGTTGACAACTGTTGATGCACTTTCTTCGTCAACATCATTCAGCAACATAGTCTGAAAATGAAATGATTAAGTGAAATCGAAAGCAGTATCTCAGCATGTATGTATGAACCAAAACAGAACTCTGTTTGTAGCAAAGTTCCCATAGAGGAAAAAAATTCTTAAGATCCACAATTAGGAAATTCATAGAGTGAAAACTAGACAGTAACATGCAAGAAGCAATACGCCTCAGATAGAAGTTTCAGTCAGTGCAAAATAACAGTCACATGTTGGGAACAAAACTTCCACGCAAGTCAAACAATACTGATGGAGCAGAAGTGTATGATAGGAATTGTTTTATATGTATAATTTGTTCTGTTTATGGTCGTATCATAGCCGTGAAGGAACGTTTTCAACAAACCAAAAATCCTGGTGTTGACTTTTATGATAACCAGCACAAATTATCAGAGTATTTCAAGAAACCGATCCTCGGTTTTTTCTTTTTTCAACAGAGATGTATAACAGAAACAACAAGCGCATTATACTAATTATCGGAGACTATTAAAAATTAACCTCAAAGCCATTGATCCTTCGATTGCCTTCGCCATAATGATAAATGTAATGAATAAGTTTAGCTTCAGCATCACTACTTTGTCGGAGGATTTCAGCACATGTTTCTAGGAATGATGCGCAACCCGTGTCAACCTGCACATTGTTTCAAGCAATAGCAAATGAGCAATTAAAAAAAAATATAAAAATAGTCAATCAGAAAAGAGATGTGCAATAAAATTGCATCTTGATAACTTACTGATTTATTTAGATGAGAAAGATATATGTCGAGAAAGGTAATCCGCTTATTCAAATTTAAATTAGTTGCTTTTCCAACTCCATGATGATCTTCACTCTCTCCTTCAGCAAAATCTAAAATCTTCTCACTTATGGAAATTATAATGGCCTTTGCAAGAAACATCATGAAATCTACTTTCTAAGCAAACTTGATAGAATGAATTATCATGTGCAAACTTCACATATCATATCGTTGGGAAGTCATGTATATGCACTTCAATTAAAATTTGTACAAAGTTTCATGATCTGTAACAATCTGTAGTGTACTCTTACAAATATCACATTGTGTAGTACTATTATACCATAAAAGTGAAAAACAATTTTCAATTGCAAACCTTTCGCAGTTTTTTCCGCATATTTTAATAGATCATCAGTTTCTTCCTTGATTAAGGAATGACATGCTGCAATATCGCCTTTTCCTCAAAAAAGGGGTTCCAACTATTTTATATGAAAAAGCATAAAATTATAATTATGTTTAGAAGAGTATTTTTCTTCAGTTTTTCTAATTCTACTTGGCCCTCATATGCAAATCTAAAAAAAAAACAAACTTGTATGGCAGTAATTAGATGTATTCAGTACAGTTGCATGTTTAAGAAAGAATTATAATGTCCTAGAGCTATAGTAAACATAACTTAAGCAAAGCAAACCATAAGAATCCTGACCAATGATGTCGCTGCCAATACCCACGGAAACATAATCTTTTGGTGTACCACACATAGTACAATGTTTAACGTTAGGCCAATTTTTGTAAGTACACTGCGAGCAATCCCACTTATGCAGTGCTTTTCCTAACTTCTCAACTTGTTTGAGATCGACTGAGCATTCATCTGACATATGAAAAATATTTGAAAAAGCTAGCTAAAAAGAATACTGATACGAGAATGCTTCGAGAGGCCTCCAAAAAACGCTCAATGACGATATTATATTATATTATATTTAGCATAAAAAGAAAAGAATACTGTTAAGAAAGAAAATTTAACTGAGAAATAACTTTAAAATCACTTTATTTTTCAAAATCTTGTGACCTTTGCAGACGAATTCCTTTTCATCCTCAGTATCAAAATTAGTAGGTCGTTTACACATGCACACCGTACACTGACGAGATTTCAGGACATTCAGGTATGTGCAGTCCGGACAAGGCCACCGTTGCTCAGTTTCTTCACCACCGCAAACAGCATTGGAAGTACAAGGTGGCTCGGTAATAAAAACTGAATGTCGTGGAGTACGACACATCGTACATGCTTTTGCCGCTTGAAAATTTGCGTAGGTACATTGTGAGCACGCCCATTTTTCTGTTATATCGCTTGCCATTTTATCCTGCAAAAAATCTCACGTACGCGACAAACAGTTTCATTTTTGTCTCGTCATCAATTAATTTTTAACTGCAAATTAGTATAACTAACAGGCGTAATGACGGTAATGAAGTGTGCAAGAAATTCCGGATGGTCAGTAACGATATGTGCTTGAATCCACCAAATATTGTAAGTTTAACACCACAATTTTAGAATTTAAATAACATATGCTTCAGCGACGACAATGCTCTGTTATGTAACCATCTCCACTTTGGTATCTGCCACTGAATTCCGTTAAAACATTAGTAAATGCATTTAACACAGAATATTTCCTTTTATGCAGAGCCTAGTTCTTTAGAGAAAACGTAAGTGAGGGCAACTGCAAGTTAACTTCCAGATTCGTGGACAGCAGAAATTCGAAATATTATCATCAGTCATCAAATTTAGCAAAAACATTGCGACGCAAAAAACATAGCGTTTTCCAGCGAATGATTTGATCTGTGTAATACAAAAGAATATTCCTAACAAAAAAAAAAAACGATATTCACATCATATCGATTCCTTCGTAGGCTTCGACACAAATGAAATCAAACAGAAAAAAAACCTCCAAAATGGCTGCAGAAAAACTCATAGAAATGGAGTATGGATTCATATTACACTGACAAAATAACGAAACATTTATGCCTCAAACTGCAAGCAACTCAACAGATAGCTAATTTTATTACATTGAAATCTAAAAGATATATGATCAGTTGTTAAATTCGGACTTGACGTACATTTAAACTTCATTACATGAACGGACAGTCGGCACCGTATTTTGCATAGTCTAGAAGGTATTCTAAGGATACCATACCTTAGCATATGCTGTTCTAAGTATATTAAGGCTAATTTGAGCAGCAAAGCTCAATTTTTCACTTCACGTTAGCGTCAAATGCATGTTTAACTTCCATTCACATTTCCTATCTACTATTTAGAGTAAATTTAATTTATACAATTTCTTATATTAATTCAAAAATTAATCAATTTGGCTCAGAACTGCAAGATCAGTGAAAAAATTGCTTCGACAAAACGACAAAGCAGTGTTTCCAACAAGACGAAATTTCGGTGTTTTCTTTGTGAACAAGCACAGGTGGTACTACTCAGCACAACCAACCAAAATGCACGTAAGTAAGCTTCACAATGCAGATGCGTGCCATGGTTACTCACAACACATCCACGACAGCAACATCAGGAAATCCGATCTGCACACAACGCAGTTCGTGCAAGCGAAAACTGTGCTGAAGACGAAAAAATGCTAGTGGCACAGCCATAGTCAAGGTTGCGAAGTGGAAATCGCCACGTCTGCAAAGACGCAAGAGTCAGTTTTCCTGAACATTTTCCTTTTTACCGATCGATTTTATGACTCACTCTGTGGTGTTATCAGCATGCATCAATTGTTACCTTCAATAAAACTCTACAAATGGCTCTCTACCTGATACTTCATATACTGACGATACTCGCTGACCTCGTCACATCCAAATCCCTAAGCTTTTCTCAACAGCCTATCCATAAACCAGCGACCCACCATCAAGGACAGCATTGATATTGGGATTTAACGCGGCCCAAATAAAGCACCAGAAGAGATTTTTAATAGGATGGTGAGTTGCTTCTTGTCTGGACATGGGTGGGAGAAGAAGTGTCTGAAATGAGGATGTCTTATACTCCCTCAAGAAGTTATGGTGGCCATTCTTCTGCTGGTGTCCTGCATTTAACCTTTTCGTAATTACTACCAGCATCTTCGACATCATCAAAGTCATCATCACTTTGTGTCACAATATTTGGAGCATCCTGTTTTGATTCAGAATTGTCAGGTCTTCGTTTAGACGTCCTTGCTGAAAATTATCGGGAAAGACTTCAACTGTTACCGTGGGGGCATTCTGCATGAGGAGTGAAGTTTGTGACCAATATCCCGTCGTGTTCCTTGTCACTAGCGTTGTGATTTTACTAAATTTCTGGTTTCTTACCGACCTTTTGTACTATATGAGCTGTGATGAAAAGTGCGACAGGAAAGCGGTGTTCAAGTAAAGAAACGAACAAGAGTGCAAAAACCTACCCATCGTCGAAATAAGACGAAGAAATGATCAAGTAAAGGCACAAGGAGAGCTCTAATAATGATCTTTATTGCTGAGCTAGTAATTTTGACTCCCACCCTTTGTGCTATGCTATCGCAATACTCTCTATAAAATGATCATTTTGGGCAAACAGTTGGCTGTATTAAACAGAGATAAATGCGTTCTGCTGGAATTAATAGCATGGTTAATCAGTTTGTTTATGCGCATGAAGGTCACACGTCATTTTCTAAGGGAGAGCGAGCATTGGCTAAAAAGTTAAGTAGTTGAAGGTACCCATTCGTGTTTTTACCAAATAATGTTTTTCGTTCATTTTAACTGAAAACTGGCATTGCGTTAGTCTTTTCTGTGGGTCATACTGTTTTTCGATGAGATAATGAAGTTATTAAATAAACCGATGATAATTCGACAAGTTAAAACATAAAATAAGTCTGACTTGGAAAGGTTTTTCGCATACCGACAGAGAATTACTTTTGATCATGAATAGTTTTATTCTTATACTCATCTACTATCATCTACTAGAGAAACTGAGTCCATTAAAATTTGTCAGTGTCTAAAATCAAACATTCGAACCACAGATTTTAGTATGGCAATTTTTTTAGGCACTAAACAGCTATCAGTCTGCTTAACTTTTCACTTGTAAATGTTTCTGTGTCGCTTGTCACTAACATATTCATTATTTCCTGTGAATTACAGAGGTTTTTACGTCTTCTGGCCAAGTAAATGAATAAGCCACAAAAGACAACTTCTTATGTGTCGTGTGATCTGTTTAATCAGTAGTCCATCGAACGCTGAAGACTGCCGAAAGATCGTTTTAAATATGTTGATGAATGTGTACTATGCGAACAGAGGAATAGAAATAAATAAATATATGAAAGGGTAATAGAATCCGACCCATCGTCATGTTAGTAAGTGGGAGCTCAATTTTGCATGATCAGCGGATTTCAATGTTCGGAAAGTTCGCATTTTGATATTGCGGAAAGACTAGTATTTTCATTATAACCTTTCCAGTGACTTATAGCAACTTGGTTCGTGATGGAGGGGTTCAGGTATTGTGCAAAATGTAGACATGGGAGAAATTTGTTTTTTGATCCCCTAATATGTATTAAAATACAGGGAATTGGTCTAGAAGTGTTAAGTGCAGTTGTCGTGTGCATTCTTATGCTTTTTTCTAAATGAGATATGACAATTCTTGAATTTATTAGTTTCGAAAATAAAATTTGCATATTGCGGTGTGGTCGTGCAGTTCTACATTTTGTAGTCTTTATATTTAGCTCATTTCTAGATTAATTTTATATTTCAATGTTTGCTCCATCACGGTCGAACCACGGGACACATGTGACCCATTTGCCTCATCCAAGCCAGTCGAGTGCCGCAGGGGAATTGCAAGCTATTCTCGCTGTTTGGGAAGCTGAGAATGATAATGCCTCGTTCAGTGTCAAACCATCTCTTATAAGGTTTGCCGTCGTTTTCTCCAGGATCCAAGGAGTGTGGGTTAATTTTTTAAAAGAGTTTCAAAATATTCAGATGGATCGGATTTCTTGAAAAAATTTCGAAAAGAAGGACGATGCTGTTATTCGGTTTAGCAACATCGTCTTTTTAAACTTGATCGGTTTTACTGGGTAACTTTGACAAAATCAATGTGACCTACTAATAGAACATTTTAGACTTTCGGAGCTGATAGAAGAAGCAACTGATGATTTTTTGAAGCAAGATCCTGATCCTCTAGATGATCGTCATCCGGCCAAAACATATCCTTCATGCATCCTCGGCCACTTGCTGAAAGTTATCAGTCGCTATGAAGAATTCATGAACAAGGTTTAAAAAAAATTATACTATGACGGTGAACTTTGTGGGAATTATAATAATCTTTACCGAAGTGGATTGCAAGACAATATCCATTCAAATATTGTAAATTCACTTTGCAGTTTTGCTATTCCTTTTCCAACTACTGTTCCCAGTTATCAGAAAATCTTTTTCCAGCTTCTTGTATCTTATTTGATGTCTCGCGATGACATTGAATTGAATATTGCCTCTGCAAGATTGTTGCTCAATCTTATCCCCGGTTTAGATTCTGCAGTTTTATCGGTAATTTTTAATAATTGGCAGTTTACTGTTAACTTCTTTTTATTGACGTTTCTACCTCCTCGTGAAAATAGTGTTTAAGAATGCTTCGATTTTCTAGGAGTTCTGAAAAGCACTATTAACTAAAGTCTTGTGAATTGTTCAAGTTTGTTCATATATGAAAGTATTTCAGGAACCAGAAGGTTTGATACCACAACTTTACAGATGGGCGGAAAGTGATGCAACCAACTGTTATTTAAGGGCGTACTCTTTTGGTTTGCTTGCTGCTGCATTAGATGTAACGAGTGTTGCAAGTAGTCTTAAAATGGAAAATTCTGCACTTATTCCAATTGCACTGCGACGTTTAAAAGATTTGTTTGTAAGTTTTGTCCGTTGACGATATAATTCAAATCCATCTACCGAAATTGTAGATTATACTCTTTAATTTTTTTGTACGTTTTCTAGGAAAGAATGAAAAAAGAGAAACAAGCAACTGCGGAAGTATCAGAACCAGATAAGGAAAATAAAGAGGAAGATGCTGAAGATAGTCTGTTTGCTGGTATTCCGAGGGAAACATTTCATAGCGGTGAAAGACCTTCATTGGCTGATGTTGGTGGTTCATATTTTTAAAAGTACTGCATAAGAAACAAAAAAGAGGATGAATAAAAAGAAGTGATATTAAGCGAAATATAGCTTGTTTATAAAGTTTATATACGGAACTTGGAATCTGTTTCACTGGATAAAAATATTACCGTAAATTGATTTTTAATTGAACATTAATTGCGGTAACCAATATAAAGCGATTTAAATTTAAATGATTTGTTACAGAATGTGATTGGCATGCATCAGTGTTTGTCAAACAATTCTTTTGTATCAGTGATGGAGTTTTCATTATTGCATACTGAGAAGCAGAGCATATATTTTCAAATGAAGTTTAGGACTTTCAAAAAGCTTAATTTGCTTCAGATTTTGAAAGAACGTGAAAAAACAAAATTCTGTGAGGAAGGAACGTCAGGACCATCCGCCGCAGTTGCTACGAGAAGTTTAACTGGATCTATGTACAGTGAAGAAAGAAAATCCATCTTAAGAATACGGTTTATCTCTTGTTTTTTTTGAAATGCTGTGTAAATTTCTTTTAGAACAAGAAATTATTAAGTCTTTTGTCTTCAATTTGTGTCGTTTCAGTGAACCAATTTACGAGTCTTCAGTATACGAAAATTTAGAGTTGACCATACCACCACGGAAAAAAGTCAAACTAGATAAAGAACAACGTGTAAGTGGTTTTGATAAAGTTTGCGTAAATTAGATCTCAAAAGTTGTTTATTCGAATAGATTTCTCATTTTCATTTAATTTAGTTGTTCATGTTTGAACTTGTTTCCTTTTTCTTATTATTGATTCTCGTGCTTTTCGATATAAATAGTTGGTTTTTTGCTTAAATATAGTATTTCTGCTAATATTTAAGCGTACAAGAGGTACTTTCTACATTTTGACGCCGTTAATTATGATACCATAAGGCTCTAATGATTTTTTTTTGTCTTTAGACTCGTAGCTCAAGCACAATATCGTTGACATCATTTATTGAGGGGAAAAGTAATAGTCAATGGGCTGTAATGCAAAAGCGGCGTCTTGGAGAGTACCGAATCTTTCCTTTAACGACTGTTATGGAACAGCGCCTAATTATTCAGTATCTTACACCTATTGGAGAATACCAGGATGTATTTAATTTGCTTTTTTGAGATAGCTTTAGTATTTCACTTAATTTTTTTTTGCTCGGTTTGCAAAGTGAATAGACTGTTGGTGTTGTGTCGTTTTTTTATGTGACATAGTAGATATTTTAGAATCTTACACTTTTTGACTCCGTTACTGTACAGTGTTTATGCTAAGATGTTATGGACAACAGTGTTTTATTTAAATATTTCAGCTTTTGAAAGAAACCTACGAGAATCGTTCATTGGATCTTGTTCTACGCTATTTGGAGGGTGCTCGGAATCACGACAGCCGTCTCATATTTGATGTTTTAAAGGTACCTTGTCGATAAATAATTGTTTTTGATAAATCGTACCAGTCTGTTAAATGTTTGTCGTCGGATTTCCTATCTCGTCAACCAAAATTTTCGTTTTTTTTTTTTTTTTTTTTTTTTAATTTGGACATAGTTCTTAATTTTTATTTTTTTTTCTTCAGTTGTACTTTATTTTTCAGTATCTTGCCGGCCTTTTGGTTCATCGTAGACTCGCGCTAGATTTTGTGGCCGCTGGTGGTGTAGATCTTTTGATTCGTATAGAACGTGACTCGTTGGCATCAGTTGTTGTTGGAACATGTCTATATTATTTGGCTTATAATGCAGATGCAATGGAAGGCGTTTGCCTTTTGCCGGAACAAACTCTTAATGAACTTGTTCAGTGAGTTCTTCTGTTTTGTTGTTTGAATTTTTTCTAAATATTTCATAAGTCACCAATAAACCTTTGAACTTTTAATGATAATATATTAAGAATCTAAAATATATGTATAT